TTGACGAAGGACCACATACATTCACGGTCATAACTGAATAATATGATATCAGATCTGTTATCTGGTATGTGTAGTCATCAAAGCATAGTGAAGTAGCGGGCAAAGTTCCGTGTCTATAGCTCGACACTCCTGATTGAAGGCACGCCTTCGACTAATGGTACGTATACGTCGAGCAAACATCCATTCATAATAAATGAAACGAACCATTGATGATTTCGATATTCAAACTCTACCATTCAATAACCTGGACATATATTTCTCCCATGTTTTCAATATTTGAAAACAGAAGCCCTGACTAATAAAATTATTATTGTGGTACGCTCTCGTGTAGGATCAGGGTCCCGTGCTACTACAGTTGTAGGCTAATGTTAAGGTATGGGAGTTACGATCACCTTAGAGCTAAGATCTCATTGTGAAAGGGGATCCAGTATCGTCGGACTGTCTCCTTTAGGGCCAGTAAAACCGGGTCCTCTCGTGTATCACCAGTGTAGCAAGGTTCTCTCATTTATGCTTAGTGTAGTCGGACATTCCCATTTAAGACCAATAAAGGCGGAGTCATCCCATGTATATCCAGTATCCAGTAAGGTTCTCTCATTTATGACCAGATAGCCGGTCTCTCTCCTCGTTGACCAGCATGGCAAGGCTCACTCACAGTTCACACATTTCTGACGGTTCATTCGCAGGAAGGCGACTTTTACAACCTGGATAGAGGGCAATCTCCCGATGATAACCTGGAAATACAACGCCACAAAGGGTCCAAGAACAAACAACAACCTTGAAGATTGGCATGGACGCTTGAAGAAGTTGGTTGGCAAGGCCCTTCCACACTTTTTCGAATTCCTTCTATTCCTATTAAGAGAGCAGAAATCCACGGAAATCAACATGGTGCAATATGCCGCCGTTCAGCGCCTCCCACCAAAGAAAAAGAAGTACAGAGATCTGCAAAGGAAGCTTGAGGATCTCTAGTGGGAGTTGGATTTCAACCAGATGACTGTGTGTGGGTATGCAGACACTGCATCATATGTTCTTGGCATGTTAGATGACACTGTGTACACATTTTAATGACTGAGAAGGACAGTGAAAGTGAAATATTTTATCAAATGATACGATGATAAACTGACGGATATATTTTAATGATTAAGGACAGTGCACGTACGTGGAAGTGGAAGTGTAATAGTTTATACAATGATTTGTACATATGTATGAATAACATGAACATGAACCTCTTGTGTTTGTCGCCTTCCTCTGGGATTAGGGTTCCTGTATAAACACCCAAACCCATTGTTGCAAATGTCCACCCTTTTCGCACGAAGGCGAAAACGAAAAACAGCCTATGTTTTACACGCCCTAAAAAGTCGCCTTCCTGCGGACACACTTTTCTGACCAGTACAGCAAGGCTCACGTATTTGTACCAATAAAGCAAGGCTCACTTATTTGTGACCAATAAAGCAAGGCTCACGTATTTGTGACCAATAAAGCAAGGCTCACGTATTTGTGACCAATAAAGCAAGGCTTACGTATTTGTGATCAATAAAGGAATCCTCACGTATTTGTGACCAATAAAGCAAGGCTCACGTATTTGTGACCAATAAAGCAAGGCTCACGTATTTGTGACCAATAAAGCAAGGCTCACGTATTTGTGACCAATAAAGCAAGGCTTACGTATTTGTGATCAATAAAGGAATCCTCACGTATTTGTGACCAATAAAGCAAGGCTCACGTATTTGTGACCAATAAAGCAAGGCTTACGTATTTGTGATCAATAAAGCAAGGCTCACGTATTTGTGACCAATAAAGCAAGGCTCACGTATTTGTGACCAATAAAGCAAGGCTCACGTATTTGTGACCAATAAAGCAAGGCTCACGTATTTGTGATCAATAAAGGAATCCTCATGTATTTGTGACCAGAAAAGTAAGGCTCACTTATTTGTGACCAATAAAGCAAGGCTCACCTATTTGTGACCAATAAAGCAAGGGTCACTTATCTGTGACCAATAAAGCAAGGCACATTTTTCTTTGAACAGTACAACAAGGATCTCTCATTTATGCCCGATGATGAAGGACATTCTCATTTAGATTAAGGGCAGGGCCCTTCTTTTATGGCCAGTATAGCAAGGATCTCTCCTTTGTGACGAGTATATCATGGATCACTCATTTGTGACCAGTAAAGTATGGATCTCTCATTTGTGCCCATAAGAATATAGGCAGGGCCCTTCCTTTATGGCCAGTATTGCATGGATCTCTCATTTGTGCCCATAATAATATAGGCAGGGCCCTTCCTTTATGGCCAGTATAGCATGGATCTCTCATGTATGCCTATAATGATATAGGCAGGGCCCTTCCTTTATGGTCAATATAGTATGGATCTCTCATTTGTGCCCATAGTAATATAGGCAGGGCCCATCCTTTATGGCCAGTATAATCGGGTTGTCCCGTTTATGGTCAGCACATTGGGATTCTCTCCTGTATCACCTTAATGGCTCCAAATATTGCCCTGTAAATGAGTGAATGTTGTACAGGCCATACTATGACAGCTTGATTTATTTATATAGCGCCGAGTTCCAGCAATCAACACGCGATGAAGCACAAGGCAATGAGGATGAGCACCAAACGTGATATGACAAGCACGGTAACCTCGGGACATAATACAACGCATACCAAATTACCATGCTATCACCTGGCGTCCATAATGAGCCCTCTGTCGTGAGCTGACATCTGTCAAGTAACGTCCACAATAAGCTCTATGCTACATACATACCATGACATCCGTTTTAATCACCACTCTAAAGTACCTGGCAAAGGACATCTGTCAAGTAACGTCCACAATAAGCTCTATGCTACATACATACTATCACATCCGTTTTAATCACCACTCTAAAATACCTGGCAAAGGACATCTGTCAAGTAACGTCCACAATAAGCTCTATGCTACATACATATTATGACATCCGTTTTAATCACCACTCTAAAGTACCTGGTAAAGGACATCTGTCAAGTAACGTCCACAATAAGCTCTATGCTACATACATACTACGAAATCCGTTTTAATCACCACTCTAAAGTACCTGGCAAAGGACATCTGTCAAGTAACGTCCATAATAAGCTCTATGCTACATACATATTATGACATCCGTTTTAATTACTACTCTAAAGTACCTGGCAAAGGACATCTGTCAAGTAACGTCTACAATAAGCTCTATGCTACATTCATATTATGACATCCGTTTTAATCACCACTCTAAAGTACCTGGTAAAGGACATCTGTCAAGTAACGTCTACAATAAGCTATAAGCTCTATGCTACATACATACCATGACATCCGTTTTAATCACCACTCTAAAGTACCTGGCAAAGGACATCTGTCAAGTAACGTCCACAATAAGCTCTATGCTACATACATATTATGACATCCGTTTTAATCACCACTCTAAAGTACCTGGTAAAGGACATCTGTCAAGTAACGTCTACAATAAGCTCTATGCTACATACATACCATGACATCCGTTTTAATCACCACTCTAAAGTACCTGGCAAAGGACATCTGTCAAGTAACGTCCACAATAAGCTCTATGCTACATACATACCATGACATCCGTTTTAATCACCACTCTAAAGTACCTGGCAAAGGACATCTGTCAAGTAACGTCCACAATAAGCTCTATGCTACACACATACTATCACATCCGTTTTAATCACCACTCTAAAATACCTGGCAAAGGACATCTGTCAAGTAACGTCCACAATAAGCTCTATGCTACATACATATTATGACATCCGTTTTAATCACCACTCTAAAGTACCTGGCAAAGGAATGCGTAGACTCATGTTTGAAGCTGGCTTCAAATACACAAACAATCCAGCGAGCTTGAAGTGTCGGGATCAAACCAGCCTGTGACCGGGTGTAAAAAACCTTGGAGTCAACTTTGTGTTCAGACTCTTTCAGTGTGTCACAACCCCTAGTGTACAGTACACAACCCTGTGCACTTAAAAGAACCCACGAATCCGTTGGTCATGACCAGATGGTGGCCACATGAATGCATGCAAACACCTAGTTGCGGGTACAGCAACGTTCAGTAAACTTGGACAAAGTACTGTGACTGTGTGTCCCAGTCCACCCAGCTGTGAAAGGGTACCTCGTTAGGATGAGAGAAGCCACAATAACTCGGTGCAGCTAGAGGCTGCAAGGGGGTATGATCCCCAGGGAGTTGAGATTGATAAGACGATGTGCTGTTGAGATTGTCATCCTATCATCGATGGAAAAAAATATCAGCGCCTTGAGCATGTAAAAGTTGCGTGGATATGTGCGCTATATAAATAACCTATAATAATAATATGAAGACGCCATAAGAAACCAATATGCGCATACGGCACATGGTCCCAATGTAAGTGAAAGTGTATATTGAGATATGATAACACATAACGATCACGATGTCAAGAACACATTTCCAACCGTGTTTCAACATTTGAATGCGAGCCGTGTTCCGAAAGAAAGCCGCACACTTAACATGTACATATATAATCGGGAATTTACAACAACCTGACATTTTATGATTTTTTACGACCGCATGTACATCGTGCACAAAATGTATTTTATTGCAGAGTGTCATCCCGCTGCTTGCTGATGGGTTAACCCCCCTTGATCATGTGGGCACGTTTCGTAAGTGCCAATCCCGTCATGCAACCAGTCACTTTTATGGTCATGACGCAGACATTTATTACAATCGTTCTTCTTCCCAGAAGGGCGGCGGAGCAGCCTAGGGGTTAAGGCGTTCGCTAGTCACGCTGAAGACCCGGGTTCGATTCCCCACATGGATACAATGTGTGAAACCTATTTCTGGTGTCCCCATGATATTGCTGGAATATTGCTAAAAGCGTAAAACTAAACTCACTCACTCACTCACAAAGACAATCAAAGCAAAATGCAACCGATGTTGAAATTAAAATTATATCAAACTAATATGGTAATGCTAATTGTGGTTAAATCGTTTTTTACTTCACAAACAAACCTCACGTGGTCCACCATAGAGGATACATTAAGCTTCGTCCCAACCCTGTTAATCGGGCATTACTATATGGAGTATGTCACTTGTGGTCAGTGACGGATAACTTAAACACCAGCATATTTTATACAATTATTGTTTCGTACACCTCACATATACTTGGGAAGGGTGGAGTAGCGTAGTGGTTAAAGCGTTCGCTCGTCACACCGAAGATCCGGGTTCGATTCAACAGACGGGTGCAATATCGGAAGCTAGTTTCTGGTGTTCCCCTGTCGTGATCTTGCTGGAATGATGCGGCGTAAAACTAAATTCACTCACATCGAGTAGGTAACGGCGTGGACACCACCACGTCCCTTCAAACATCAGTCCCTATTACCTGAGGAAACAGATTCTATCGAGCTTGAAAATGAGGGTGACAATTGTAGGACAAGATCATCAGTGATGACACCAGGTGTTCACAAGACAATCAGCATATCCTGGTTTTCCGGTAGACATGCAACATGCCTCAATTCGATGTGTGCTATCACTGTATTGCATGGTGAAGGATGTTGGAAATCGCAGGTTTTCTTATGTGTTCATTCACAAAACAGTATCCCGTTATATCGATAATGTTCTGTCTGGAATCACCGTTGTTTGGAAAAGACTTATTCCTGCCGTCGACATAGAACTTAGCAAGAAACATGCACCTGAAAATGCAGAAATAACAATTATTCTTTGCCTCGATTTGTTTAATGTACTTTTCCTATTAATAGTACGTTATAATAAATATGAATCTATATTCTAGGGTAAAATAATTTGGTTCCCCACAGTTTTAACCAGGCAGCAACTGGTCCTAACATATTACTTCAACTGTGTGAAAATACTGGCGCGCTGCACCATCAATCTTCGTACTAAGATTTTAAACGATCGACTCGGAGGAACAGCAACAGGTCATTCACAAACCCACGACACCCCATATGGATCAATTGGGATGCGATCCCATGATCCCATGATATCCGGGTTTCTGTGCACACCTCAAAATAACAGTGGTATGTCATGCCGAATACTATGACCATTTGTCTTACATCGAATATTATGGTAGAAATTAACATTGCTTTGATTTCAAACCGGGTTAGTATATAATCTTACTCCATACACCACGACCCGTGAAGATTCGGGTTAGATTTGGTCTTCAGTAACTCATGCTTGTCGTAAGAAACGACTAACGGGATCGGGTGGTCAGGCTCGTTCACTTGGTTGACACATGTCATCTTACCGATCGCAGCCATATAGCTGGGATATTGCCGAGTGCGGCGTAAAACTAAACTCACTCACTTACTCAATACGCCACACATAAATGTGAATGTTTTTGTATATAGACATGTATTATTGAAAGTCGTACCTCCGAACACGAACGTGTAATCATACACTTGTGTGACGTCATAAATGAAGCCTGAAAAGACACATAAACATCATTAACACGCCTTATTTGAATCATGTATTCCTGTCAAAAGAATTTTTACATTTCATCGTATTGTATTTGATGCACACATCTAAAACTTGCTGGATTGAGAACAGTCACCGACGACCTGCTGCAAACATGTGTTCCAAATTGAAACCCATATTCAATATAATCATCATATAACCCTTGTTACATGTTAAGCAACTCTTTAATATTGGTGTATACTCAATTTGCTCGGCAATATATTATCGATGATAAATATAATCAAAACGAGTTTAGCATGTCTGTTCACATTAAAGTTGTCTTGTACTTTTAACATGAACGTTCTCAAATGTAAAATTCAACGTGCATCACGTATTCTTAGTACTGATGTCATTTGTGGCTGACGGTAAAATAAACCATGTTGTCGTGCTACATTGACCTGCTGACAACGGATTAACTCCTAAGTTAAATCGGCTTTTCAAACACGAGGTACCCAGGGAACTATTCTGATAATGGCCTCACACAGACACCCAATCCCTCCCGTAGTTGTACCCTTGGTGCCATCTTGTATCCGATCCAATTTATCAAACTTTGTACGGTTTATTCACATAAGACTTTCAATGGGCACGTAATTTCATACTCAGCTTGCAGAGGAACCGAATGCCTCATGTTAAACGCATTTTAGCAGCTTCTAGCTCGGAAAGGCGGTTTGTGAACTCTAAATGTTATTTTAATAATTTAAATTGAATTTAACTAATACAAATTGTGCATGTCTTCCAAACTTACTTGCAATGACTGGTCCCAAGAGATATCCAATTCCACAAGAGAAATACACAATTCCAAAACTCATAGCAACGTCAGACAAACTGGTAAGTTGTATAGTTAATGGTCCCATCAATGAATTTGTTCCATGGCTGTACAAGCCATACAATAATGCAAACGCTATCTGGCAGTGATATGTACTGGAAAACAGGGGAAAGAAGATGGTGATGAGTCCAGTAACACCAACAATCCCGAACTGAAGCAACGTGTATTCCGTACTGGGACTGGAAGCCATCAGACCGATGACTACCCTCGTGAAGATGCCACCGGCTCCCATTGCACTTAACAGACTTGCTGCCTGTCGTGGTGAGCTGCCTTTAATTTCTGCATAGTTCGGAAGATGGAATATACAGGACGCGTCGCCTAGCGACCAGAACAAGATTGCAAAGTTGTACATAAGAAAATCCCTTTTTGTCATTATTTTTAACAACAGTCGTATATTATAACATTGGGTTTTCGGTTCCTCGTTGGTCTGTGTTCGAGGTGTGATGTCTTCTGAGAGAAATGGGATTGTTGTTTGATCTGTGTTGGTATCTTTCGTAGGGTTTGTACCAGCAAGTGTCGTATCACTTCTCGGAAACATTTCATCGGAGTCTTGAATGGATGCTTCTTTGGCTGATACATCATCTTCGTCTTTGTGGACAACTATGAAAGATTCGTTGGAAGGTATTGGTGGTTTTCGCAGTAAGGATGCCGCAATTGACATATGGAAAGAAATGGCCCCCATTATCAACAAAGTTCCATGCAGATTATATTGGTCAAGAAGGTATCTTGTGAGTGGACCTGCTATGAACAGCCCCAGAGCACCTCCTGCCATGCATACGCCATAGGCTGCTGGCCTCCTCTTCTCGAAGTAGTGACCAGGGACCACGCCCACCACGTTTCCACAAAGGGATAATCCAAAGCCTAAAAAGGCAAAAGATTATAAATTAAGTAGCGAATACATATTGTTTTACGTCGCAGTCAGCAATATTCCACTGATTAATAATTAATTAACTCACCGCCGGTAACACGTGATTAACAACACGAACAACAGCGTGTCTGTTTGTTCTTTAACGTCTAACTCAGCAACATTCCAGCTATTTGTTGTTCTATCGACAAGGACTCTTGCTTGCTACTTCACTACGACACTTGCAAAATAACAGATCTGGTTAATATATTATTCAGTCATGACCGTGACGGTCTTTGGTCCTCCGTCAAGTAAGTCAACAGACATCGATATGAAAAGACTACAAAGGCATACAATGGCAATCTGCTGTGTAAGGTAATTCCCTTCGGAGCGTTAACACAATTACCATTGAACAAGGTCGTCATACCCATGACACACATTAGCAAGCCTTAGCGCAAGCACGCCGCGTCTCTTATGTGTTATGCAGTGTTCCATTCTGTTTCTCTATGCAAGCGTTTCACTAAGCAATGTAATGAATGCCTTGCAGAGACATTGTAAGTCTATCCCCTGCCTAGTAATAGATGTGTTTGTTGTTTAACGCCACACTTAGTAATAGTCAAGCTATATGAATACACGATGCCATTTAGAAAGTGAATGTAACACATGTTACATTTGGGATTACATTTTATCAATAAAGTGCAGATTCTTGTTGGTTTGAATCCCATTGGGGATTCGAACCCACATCCATAGAGGCAGGCACCCAATTGCCGGCACACAAAGTCAGCCGTCTAACCCGGTCAGCCAGCGCGGCTTCCACAAGCGATCTATCATCTATGCTTAGCCTGTATGTACCCCTGCCCATCCAAGGAATATACCAATTCACCAGCAAATAAACGTTATGCAACCAGTGCTGTGATATTTGGTGCATGTGAACAGAAGGACTGCTCATATATTCCAAACATTCGCGCTAGACTGTATATGTGACATAGGAACATTGTGTACACTGGAAACTATATCGACTTTATAGGATTACACTCAATGTCGATACATGATACGATCTACGCAAATGTTCTCAGTGACAATACAGTGCGATATTTACCAGGGTTACCTCCAGGTTCCTGATGAGAAGAAACTCAGAGAGGAGCATTATAAGTTCGATATTGTATTGTTGAATATTATGTTATTGAAATCGTGTCCGTATTGTTTCACGGGGGCTTGTAACGCCAAAAATAGCATCAATATACAAACTGTCACTGACGGGACTATATTTACCAATATAAACTAATACACATACATTTAAAGCGAATAGATTTAGTATGCGGTGCCAGTGAACAGGTATTGTGGCTTTGAATTTCAGAGCTTCCGAAGACCCTAACTTACAAAATACGGCTTCGATATTTTGTGATTTATGTCTAATTTTGTAGCTCAATCTATTGTCTTGAAAAGCGTGTACTGTTTCAAAGGAATTTGTCCTGAAACGAACATGGTGTGTAGTCCTCCTTACACCCCTTTCCTTTGATATCGTGTGAATACACAATGCCATTTAGAAAGTGGTCGAATGTAACACATGTTGCGTTTGGGACTACACTTTCTCAGTAAAGTGCAGATTCTAGTACGCGTGTTGGGTTGAGTCCCATCAGGGATTCGAAACCACACCCTCAGAGAAAGTTTCTTCCTTACAGAGAAATTGTAATCTCATAAAACATACGTTACACTTGACCGCTTTCTAAATGACATTGCGTATTCATAGCTTTCGGCCTTTGGAGTTGGGTCAATTTACACTTATCAGATGGGTTTGTGGTCCAGACTACCATCTGTTCTACTTCCATTTTTGTGGAACTCGCGGCGGCTGAGCGGGTTAGACGGCACTTTGTGTGCTGGCGATCAGGTGCCTGACTCTGAGGCTGTGGATTCGAAACATGTTTCAGTAATATAGTGGTTAGGCTCAGTTAGGTGGCAATATATACCTTGATGCGTGAAGCCCATTTCTGATGTCCCCCGCCGTGATATTGCTCCAATGTTGCTAAAAGCTGCGTAAAACCCAACTCATTCACTCATTGATGTCGTTTCACACGCATTGCCTCTTATTGCCTCATATCTAATATCCTTGCGAAATGCGAGACACAATGGTTTGATATATTAAGGCTACATATTTTAAATTTGGAACATAACGCGAGAGCTTACCTGAAATAAATCCGTATGTAACCAACAGCCCTGTTACTGTCCGACAAAACGAAGCGATAGTCATGCCTAGTAACACCAGAATTGCACCACCAAATGTTGTCAATTTGGAACCAACACGATGTTGAATGATACCAGACACAGGACCTGCGGGAAGAACATATTTGAAGGGGATAACATCTTTGATGAAGCATTGACAACGACAGATATTTGCCTATGTACGTATGAACTTAAGGAACCCCGGTTGACATCAATATCTAGGTTAGAATTGGTTTTGCTTGTTTTAAGAGGCGACAAACCGGATCGGGTGGTCAGACTCGCTAACTTGACTGACACATGTCATCGTATCGATCTTGCATTTATCGATGTGTACACTGTTGATCACTGAATTGCCTGGTCCAGATTCGATTATTTATAGACCTCCACCATACAGCTGAAATGAGAGGCGTGGATCTTATGCGTATCCGACAATTTCAAACATGACAATGCAAAAAAAGGACGCACGTACGGTATACATGTTCTTGGATGCAAACGTATATCCTCGGGTGATCACAAGAGATCTAATGACATACATTAATCCTCATATCAATGCGTTGTCTACACAGAATTATTGATTTGCATGTACGCAAATGAAAGTTTGTTGCGTGTTTCTCGAAAAGAAGCAAGCGCGACTACGAATAGTTATAGAAACATGTTGCCAGGTAGGCGTGGCTTAGCCATCACGAGTATATTTCATATGCATGGTAGGTGAACTGTCTTGGGCGCCAGGCTAGTGCTCCAGCGAGCTTAAGGTAATGGGATAGAGGCAACCTGTGACCGGGTGTAAAAAAGCAGGGGTACAACTTTGTGTGCAGCTCTTTCAGTGTTGTCACAACCCCTAGTGTACAGTACACAACTCTGTGCACTTAAAAGAACCTACGAATCAGTTGGTGAATGAGTGCTGAGATTGATAGTATGATGTGCCTTTGATATTGACATCCAATGCTCGAGTGAAAGAAACCCACGGCCTTGATAATGTATTAGTTGCGTGGATATGTGCGCTAAATAAATATCCTATAGTAAATAATAATAATTTCATTATACATTCGTCATCAGCATTTTGGCTGCATGTGTTCGATGTAATCCCTGATTTCGATTGTTCTGCTGTGTTGAATGTTCTTGTGTGTCATGCTACACCAATATATGAAAATGATTGTTGCCCTTTTTTCTCTCATACCTGCCGCTTCTATTGGTACAAGGTTGATGCATAAATCTACAGTGCATATCAATGTTTACATGTATGTCCTACCTAAAAGCGTGAATGTGCCACTCTGACATGATCCAATCCATGACGTTTTTGTGATGTCATTCTCCACCTCTTCCATGATGGCGATGTTAATGACTCCTGATGAAAACACAACGAAAGCCACCATAAGCTGAATGCTGAGTGCTGCGCCTAGGGCCACCCATGCGTACCCATGGTCGATATCGTTCCTGTGCGCCATCTTTCACGGGTTCAGGGAATGGCAGTCTGTGTATAGAAGCAATGCACATAATCAGAATGACATGTTTAAATACACTTACATGGCTGACCATATCTTGATCCTGTATTGTTATTTACATCAGTGAGTGACATGATGTTAGAAACATATTACAAATGAATCATAATTACTTACATAATTCATATAATTCATGGCAGACCGAAACGGAAAACACCAGATGCGTTTCGCCCTAGCGAGTACTGATTACACCAACTCGATTTCGAACAATTATATCACTAGCTGCCAAGTACTGTATGCTAAACATATTTTTATTCAGTGAATTATAGATGTTTTTCTGATCGTATGCACTGACCTAATATTCATTGATTCATCTGTCAGCATCCGAACTCCACTCCAATGTTGCATTTACGCTTATCATTAACGTGGAGATTTGCTGAAGGCATCTAGTCTGTTTGCACAGCCTCATAGACAGCACAGCCACCCTGAAGTATGGCTGAATACCGCTGCTGATAACAAGTCAACACTGTACAACACGAGAAGGTGTTAGAGATTGTCCAGCTAGGTGAACGTTGATACTTAGACAATGACCCATCAGAGGTCAAATGCAGGCGTAAGTATAGGTCATCAAAACGTCAGGCAAACACAACGTGAAATTCAGGGTAAACTCTCATAATTCAGCAAGTTAGGTTGGCGCCTGAACATGATACGTTTCTGGTATGACCAACATATGTCGCTGGTACGACCGACAATAGATGCTAGTATAACCGACATTGGTTGGGGACAGGAACGTGATATCTTGCTGGTACGACCAACATGGGTTGTTGACATGATCGTGATAAGAAGCTGCTGGTATGACCAACATGGGTAGCCGACATGATCGCGATAAGTTGTTGGTACGACCAACATGGGTTGCTCACATGATCGTGATAAGTTGCTGGTATGACCAACATGGGTTGCTGACATGATCGTGATAAGTTGCTGGTAATACCAACATGGGTAGCCGACATGATCGTGATAAGTTGCTGGTATGACAAATATGGGTTGCTGACATGATCAAAGTGGGTTAGAGTTACATACTATTAGCTTGCTGGTATGACAGACTTAGGTTGATGATTTTAACCATCATTGGTTGTTCTAACTATTGCACGTCGCTATGGCAAATATAGGTTTCCAGTATGCTCATCATATACTGAAAGCCATTAAAAATGCAATTTGACATTCATACTTTCTTTACTCACACTAATATCAACATATTTAAACCTGACTGGCAGATATGTTTTAAGGGAACATCTGTGAATACATGTAATTTCATCCGAAAATGTCCAGTCAACAACAACATCAGTGACGCAACAACGACATCAAGGAAAGGAGGGGTCACTTGCAGTCTATATCGGGTGTGTCCACCGTGCGCTGCAAGACATGCTCGCAGTCTGTGGTGCATTGAAAGACACACATTTCTCAGGAACAGCTGTTGGATGGTCTGCAGCCTCTGATTGTGGTCTGATCATGACACCACACCCTCCAAAACGATCATGTTCAAGGACACAGTTTGGCGCAAGTCTTTCTCCTTATAAATCATCTGCAAAGGATAAGTTAAATCTGGATTCATCTGAAAAAAATGACATCTGGCCATGTCCTGTTGCCAAGATTGGCCCCATTTGCTGCCCATCGCTGTCTGGCAAGTCTATGGCGATGCAATTAGGTTGGAACACGGTACGGATGACGACACCAGATGTTGAAGGCAGCAAGGCGTCCTTGCACCTTTTGGGCGTTGAAATGACATTGACTTGCCCAATGTCCAAATTGTTCTCCTTGCCTAATCATCAGCTGTTTGGAACAAATTTCGCAAGTGTGAAACTCGGATATTGCGGTTTTGTCGAGCTGTTATCACAGGTGGTGCACCAAGTCGCGGACGATCAGCAACACTTCCGGTAGCCCGAAAACATTGTCTGTGTCGACTTACAGTGCATGGATGCACATTAAAGTGCCTGGCACTCATCACATCTGAAGCACCTTGGCTGACCATACCGATAACCTGGTTCCTTTCGTCTTGTGTCAAGTGTGGCATTTTCTCAAAGTGATTGAGTTCCACAATTCCTTGTGCTTTTACAGGACCTGGGTGCAGGTAATGCATGTGCACAACGTGTTTCATGAAATGTCAAAGGTTCAGTTTTAAGTATCAAAGTTCATGTGAGAGGAATGCTCCGGGACTCGAACTCGAAATGGGCGAGAATAACAGCCTTTTATCTCTGTATCGCAGGAAAAAAATCTTCAATAGAGCTTTTGTAAGTTTCAGGACAACAAATACCAATTGCGTTTTTCATGGCTTTCAGTATACGTTTCTGGTATGAACACCTTGGTATGCTCATCACGAGTTTCTTGGATGACCATTACATGTTACTGGTTTGACCACCATAGGGTGTTGGTGTGGCCATGCGTTGCTGATGTGACATTGAAAGGTTGCGGGTCAGCATCATCACCGGTTGGTGGGATCAACATCATCACGGGTTGGTGGGATCAACATCATCACGGGTTGGTGGGATCAACATCATCGACGGTTGGTGGGATCAACATTATCACTGGTTGGTGGGATCAACATCATCACGGGTTGGTGGGATCAACATCATCACCAGTTGGTGGGATCACCATCTTAGATTGCTGGTATGACCGTCATCCCGCAGGTGTCACCATCATAAATAGCTGCTACAACAATGGACATCCCCTCCGTTTTGCTCAGGTATGTACACTATCAAGAAAATGTTGTGCCCCACTGAACAATTTCACCCAGATCAGTTGCTTTTCCGTAGTTTTATAGTTGTTAAGCCTTAAAACCACGCAATCTTACAAGAAATACCCTCAATATGTATCCTTGAAGGTAATTTTAAATATACTACCCATCACAAGTTTAGATTCACTAGTGTAAATGTAACCAATTACTTTAGTCAACTGATCCAAACTAGATTTTGCAAAATTTCGATTGAAAAAAACATACGATACAACGTAGAAACATGGTATCTTAAAAGATTTACAGGAATTTGGATTGAGGGGCAGATTACTTCAGTTCATATCTCAGTTTTTAAACAACATACAATTTCAAGTACTGGTAGGTTCCACATTGTCTGATTATTTCCACCAACACCAGGGCGTCCCTCAAGGCAGCATCCTGTCTGTCACACTTTTTAGCATCAAAATCAACAGCCTCACTAACATTTTGAACAGCTGTGTTGATGGGTCCCTTTTTCGTGGACGATTTCAATATATCATGTCGTGGTAAGAACATGCACGCAAGAGAAAGGCAGCTACAACTCTGCCTTAACAAAATCCAAAAATGGGCCAACGAAAATGACTTTAAGTTTTCAAAATCCAAACAAATTGTATTCACTTTTGTTGTAAATACAAACCACACAAGGATCCAGACCTATCCTTAGATGGTAACCCTATCAAGGTAGTAGAAGAGGCCAAATTCCTGGGACTCATATTCGACCGCGACTTGACATTCCTACCACACATAAAATATTTGAAAACAAAGTGTTTGAAGGCTCTTGACTTGCTAAAAGTCGTTTCAAATATACCTACTAGGGTTGTCAGTCAAGACGTGATGAGGTAATTTTACGACGATGTCGTATTGGCCACAGTCGGTTTACTCATGACTATCTGCTGAAAACGGATGGGGGTGGACCCCCCATGTGTGTCTCTTGCGATGAGGTTTTCACCATCAAGCATATTCTGCTTGACTGTGTGGACTTATCGTCTGCAGTGGACTTATGATGCAACAAATCTGATTTGTTCTCCCGCGTGAGCGCTCATCTGATAGTGAACTACCTGAGGGAAGTTGATCTGTATCATAAATTGCAACTGTGTAATGTGACTAACAAATTGCTTGCCTTTAAATTTAGCGCTATGACTGTTTCTGTTTTTAAATGACAATGTAATGAATATATGTTTTTGAAATAAAACTCATTTTGACTCTGTAACTTAGAATGTTCATTAATGTAGACTTGTTCTCGTCACTATATGGCTGGAATAATGCCGATGGGACGTAAAGCCCAACTCAACTCAACTCAACTATACAGTTTAAGGATACTGTATACAAATGAACTGATGCATTGTAAACCAAATGCGTAACGTTGAAAAGATTATTGATTATTAAACTCAGTGAAAAATTGTGAATTCTTAACGAAACTTAACACCACAACGCAGCTGTTCACATGCACGATATGTGCCCAAGCGTTTCAGCAATTTGATTCATGATATCCGTGCAATTCATCTGCAGATGGTTTGCTGTTAGTTCCCCCCAAGTTAGTGGAGAAATTCTTCTTCGATGTAACCACATATACAAACATAACATATAGTGCGTGCTTTAACTGAGTCTAAAATTGTGAACCCGTGAAGGTCCGGGCTAGAATGAACCTTCAGTAACCCATGCTTGTCGTAAGAGGCGACTAACGGGATCGGGTGGTCAGGCTCGCTGGCCAGGGTGCCCTTGTACAAAGCAATCTTAGCGCTAAGGTGTTCGTAACTCCCATACCTTAACATAGACTTACGACCGGCGTAGCGATAAGGTTGCTTTGTCATCGGTTCCCAATTGCGCAGGTCGATGCTCATGCTGTTTATCACTGGACTGTCTGGTCCGGACTCGATTATTCACACACCGCCGCCATACAGCTGGAATATTGTTGAGTGCGGCGTAAAACTCAACTCAACTCAGTCACTAACGTTTTGATGGGTAGTGTATGTGTTCATTTGTATTTCGATGCAGTCTGGCCCTGTCTCAACGTCGTGTACTGAACAAGACCAATCTGCAAGACAGAGATTGTAGAGACGTGAGTGTTACGTAACGCTGCTCTGTCAGTACATATTGTCTACACGTGATTTGACTTATGGCTACACCACGTCTACACATGATTTGACTCATGGCTACACCACGTCCACACGTGATTTGACTTATGGCTAGACCACGTCCACACGTGATTTGACTCATGGCTACACCACGTCTACATGTGATATGACTCACAGCTACACCGCGTCTACAAGTGATTTGACTCACGGCTAAACCACGTCTAGATGTGATATGACTCACAGCTACACCGTCTACACGTGATCTGACTCATGGTTACACCACGTCTACACGTGATTTGACTCATGGCTACACCCCCATGTCTACACGTGATTTGACTCATGGCTACACCATGTCTACACGTGATTTGACTCATGGCTACGCCACGTCTACAAGTGATTTGACTCATGGCTACACCACGTCTGTATTACTGGATTTGACTCACCCGTGACTGTTATGGCGTGAAGCTCATGAAAATGATAATCAATACCCTACCTCTATAGGGTATGCATCTTAAACCATCACATTTGTGTAAAGCAAGATTATATTTGTTGAGGAGGTGGTGCTTACCTGCAATTACTGTCAATCCCATCCCTCCTGACAATACCAGTCAGAAGGACCGTATTCTATATGCACAATCACGTCGAATGTCTTCTCCCACCGCACAACCAAAAACCATGAAGCAATCTGACAGGTGCGGGCCTGCTTTCGACATTGTTATGGAAATAGCTCCACGCGGTTAGCTGGATACGTGCTGGCTGTGAGCTGTCGAGTACAATACAGTAACGACATGGCAGCGTTAGGGTTAAAGTGTTCTTAGTCAGCTCATGGTCTGACAGTGACACACATCACAGGGGTCGCGTGGGCATGTATCATATATTTACATTTACCTCGTACACTACGCTGTATGCAGGTGCAGACTGTTTCGCGGCATATGAAATCTTCAGCTCGTGATATGAATATCGAGGTCCAATACATGTATATGCCTTTTTCGATTGTTTCGATCATAATACGGATACTGGATTCGTCGGCATCTTAATCCTACTCTCGGGTTTCACCAAAATTACAGTCCTCTTTAGGCTGCTTCAATCTGGGATTTTGTCCCGCGTTAATGTGATACACCATGACGCAAACGAAAACGCGTAGATTCATATTTTAACAAATATAACCGTGTCGTCAGTCAACACTAAGCATTGAGTCATAACTTGATTCTTTTTCAAATCTGTTTTTAAAGTTTATAATTAACAGTAATGCTGTTTGCTGCAATAATGAATCATTTCTTTACGGTCGGTTCACATCTGTGTCGCTCTGCTCTCTGGTGTCCACAGTTTTGAGTGAGTGAGTGCGTGAATTAGCCTTTACGCCGCTTTTTGCAATATCAAGGATTGGAGCACCACAAATGGGTTTCACGTATTGTGTCCATTGTAGGGAATGTGACACGAGAGCGTCCAGAATAAGAATCGTGTTAGAATGACCTCCAGATTGTTCCATACTATGCCAGATTAGTATCTGTTGTTCAAGAAACAAACAGGAGCTCCAAAGGCACGTTAGTGTAGTAGCTCCTTGCCACTGCATACATTAGAGAGCAGTACATTCCTGACAAGTGTATTTTCATGTATTACGACGGATTATGTCTAGATTGCTCCACACGGTAACGGCTTACCTCACCCCAAACTCGTTCACCCCGGCACAGATTGACCCAAGGCTGTTTCACCCTGATTGTTTCACCCATTACTGTTTCACCCCATTTAGAGGTTGTTTCACCCCAGCAAAAAAATAATAATCATTAGGTCTTCAGACGAAAGTCTGGAAGACTTACTGTTATTATCCGAATATTCTTCTTCTCATTGTTATTTGTACAAAGTTCGTGACAGCTCTCCTGAACTAACTACTGGGTCGATTTTCATGAAACTTTCAGGGGTGCAGAGATGCAGTGCTGAAATTGATACATAGTCGACAAAATCCCAACTTCCAGCTTCCGGTAAGGGCAGACTACCCAAAATGTCAAAATCTTAACACCTCAATATTTCACAACTATAAAAGATAAATTGACCAAATTTTCACCCAGTGTAGACATCATCATTTTGCTTCGATTTAACGCATAGCAGAAGTTAGCCGCCATGATAGAAAAAACTGAAATTTTGTCGATTTTTGCGTTTTGACGGTGCTTGTGTTTAAAAATATTTTTCTCCTGATCGACAAACAGTACAATCCTGTTTGATATATGGTTGTAAACTCCACACTCCGGACTACAAGGCATGTCGATATCTTGAATGGTTTTGGAGTTATTGCCTTGGAATTTGGTAAATTTTACTAAGGCGCATTTTCATATTGTTCATAGAAATGTCACAACTCTGCCAGAACACAATGGATTTCAGTTTTGAAGGTACCAAATGGTAGATAATTGCAAGGGAAACATGATTGCTTCACATTATTATTATGTCATAATCAATACTGAAGTCACAATTACGACACAAACACAAACATTACCATTTTCACATTTCCGCTCGTTTTGACGGAGCCTGTGTTTCATAATCTTCTTCTGAACGGCAAATACAATCGTGTGTGATATATCGTTGTAAAGCCCGCACCCGGGACTACTTAGATTGCTAAAGGCATGTCGATATCTTCAAGAAATGTGGATTTGTCGTCTTTGGAAGTTGGTCAATTTTGTCAAAATGCATTTTCATAGGGTTCATAAAAATGTCACAGCTCTTCGAAAACACTATTTAATTTTTCAAGGTACCAAACTGTAGGTAATTGAATGGGGCACATTTTTGCTTCACAGTATTGTTATGTAAAAGGCAATAATTACGTCACAATCACGGCCCAAACACGAACATTAGGCCTTTTCGCATTTCGTTAGTGGTTAGATAGCTGAAGGAAGCATCAGTAAAATCTAGCAACAATCCCCACTTCCTGGTTTTCCAGTGCCCATAGAAATAGTTCCCTCTTTCACAGGCCGTAGCTCCGTTGTTCCTAGGTCTACAGTCAAAACAATTAGTGTTCTGGAATTGCCAGGATGTGATCTATCCAGCAGTGTGTTTACCAACCTGACTGTGACCGGAATACGCCAGCAGCATGGAATCAATGCCAAATTAATCTAAAAAATACTGTAATGGACGCTCCAAATAGAGTCCAAAGAAACAGTAGAAGCAAAGGTAGCCACGGGGAGTGTATGGGGAAGTCTGAAGACCGTCAGTATTGCCCAGGAGGGAATCCTAGTTATTATTATTATGTTTTACAGATTAAAGATAGTATGCAGCAGAGAGGGTTCGGGTGATCCTGGCACAGTCAGGCTGGTAAGGCTCATCATCAGCTCAGGGCCCTTGCCCTCTCTACACGCAGCCCAGACAGCGAATGGGACTTCTCCCAGGAAACGCTGCCTAGTCGAACCCACCAAGAACTTTCCGGAGAATATGAAGGCTCCCCAACACTGCAGCCTTCTGCATTACCCAGAGTGTCAGAAGAGCTGTGCTCCCGGTGGAGAACCCGGGCACTCTCTTGATCTGCGCCAAGAGATCAGGAGGTACCAAACCAAGGGCACCGAGAACAATGGGGAGCCTGACGACAGTGTACTTGGGATGCAAGCGAGACATTTCAAAGGCGAGGTCCGAATATTTATCATGCTTTTCCTTAATCTTGTCAATCACATTCCTGTCAAAAGGGACAGAAAATTCAATGATATATATAAATTCATTGGCTTTATCAAAAAGGACAAGATCAGGTTTGTTGGCTGGAATTCTCCGCAGGCTGTATATGGGCCTATTCCAGAGAAGTTTGAAAGGATCATTTTCCATGACGCCCTGGACATTTTCAGAGTCGTACCATGGATGGACCTCGGAGTCAAAGCCACAGGCATGTCGGAGACGGTAGTAAAAGCAACGAGCCATGCCATCATGTCGTTTAAGATATGCTGTTTGTGCCAAGGAAGGGCATCCACTGACAAGGTGTTGGACAGTCTCTGTGAATTCATTGCAAAGTCAACATTTCATATTAATATTCTCTTTAAGAATCACATTTAGGCGATTACGAGTGGGAAGTGACTGGTCCTGAGCAGCAAAAAGGAAGCCCTCAGTTTCACATTTAAGACCAGCCGACTTCATCCAGGCGAAGGAGTCGGTGGGATTGCTATTCTGTTCAACACACTGCATGTACACACGATGCAATGGCTTCTCAGAAAGCTTCTCCACAAAAGACCGACTCTGGGCCGACTTGGTGAAGGACGTCACCTGGTTTACTCCCATCGCTGTACCGCCCAGCAGTACGTCGCCATCAGCAAAGTCAACCTCAAATTTCAGATTCTGTCCAACAACTTTGGCACGCTTAAAATAGCTGTGGAATTCCTTGCTTTCATCATGAGTCTTCACATGCATCACCAGAGGAACATTCGATAAATAAATATGTGCAAAAGTACACAATAAAATTCTGTCATGAAGAGCCTCCACATTAATCAAATCCCGACCTCCAGAATTGATTGGCATATATACACGGTTAAGAGAGGAACGAGGGTGGTGGGCTCTGTTATCAGACATGATCCTTCTGGTCAGGCGGTCAAGACTCTGGATGTCTTGTTACGTCCAATCAACTACTCCAAAGGAATAGGAGAGGACTGGCACAGCAAAAGTATTGGTGGCTTTGACCTTGTTTCGAGCATTTAGCTCTGAACTCCAGATTTTCTTTAAACGAGATTTGTACTCGGCCCGAAGTTTGTCTTGAATCTGGGCATTCTGGAGCTTATCTCGAACTTGCATTCCAAGATAGGTGTAGGCCTGATCTTCCACAAGATGCTCAATAACTCCTCCCCCTTGTAACTTGACCGATCCATCATTAGTTACCTTGCCACGTTTCAAATGAAGAGTATTACATTTGTCTGCTCCAAATGTCATGCCAATATCATTAGAAAAGGACTCGACAAGGAGAACCTGCTCTTTCAAATTGGAATCCCCTTTGGCAAGGAGTTCGATGTCATCCATGTAAAGGAGATGAGTAAGAGGTGTTGGGGATCTGTGCTGAGGAGGTCCGGGATGGTAACCCTCCTCGTTATTGAGCAGAAAGCTCAAAGGATTTAGAGAAAGACAAAAAAGCAAAGGACTAAAGGAATCCCCCTGAAATATTCCCCTTTTGATTGGAATAGATTCCGAAGTCTGCACCTGCCCTTGTGAGTAGATCTCAAGTTGAGTCGACCAGCAACTCATTAAAGAGTAAATCAAGTAGTCGCTGAGGGAGGTCAATACAATGAAGAGACTTCAGAATCCATTCGTGAGGAACAGAGTCGTATGCTTTTTTGTAGTCAATCCAGCACATGGAGAGGTTGCGGTGATATGTTTTAGCCTCTTCCAAAATCATTTTCTGTACAAGAAGTTGATCCTTGCACCCCCAACATCCCTTTCTTGCTCCCTTCTGCTCTCTGTAAATAATATCATTGGAGGAGCAGTAAGATGACACGAGGTTTGTCAAACACCCTGTGAATATTTTGTATTGTGTATTCAAACATGTGATAGGGCGGAAGTTTTTGGGATCAGTCAAGTCTCCTTTTTTGGGAAGGAGTATTGTTCGACCTTTGCAGAACCATGGAGGAACATCACCTGTGTCCACGAGAGTATTAAAACAGTGTAGTAATGGTGTTTGGACACTGGGGAACAGTTTCCAATACCGGTTTCGAATGCCATCAGGCCCTGGAGCTGTATTAGATTTGGACTTTTTTATAACACTTTTCAGGCAATCTGG